AGGCCGCCTCATCTTGCTAAATTCGGTACTTTCTACACTTCCTATTTTTTATATGTCGTTATTTTTATTGCCTAATGCTGTGCTTGTGGAGATGATTAGAATTCAAAGGAGTTTTTTATGGGGAGGGTCAGGGTTAAATAAGAAGATTTCATGGGTCAAATGGGACTATGTTTGTAGTGCTAAGGCGAAGGGGGGTCTAGGGGTGCCAGATTTGCGGAGAAAAAATTGGGCAATGCTAGGGAAGTGGTGGTATAGGATGGGTGATGGGGTTGACAGCTTGTGGAAAAGGGTGGTGAGGGAGAAATACTATGGAGGCAGGAGGGAGGTAGATATCACTGCGATTGAGTGTGCGAGGACATCAAAGCTTTGGAGGGATATTATTAGGATAGGGGGTCAGTCTTTGAAACATAGGATCATGTTGGCTGAGGGTTTCAAGTGGGAGGTGGGAGAGGGTAATAAAGTGGCCTTTTGGCATGAGTGGTGGGTAGGAGATAAAAGTCTTAGGGATTTATTTCCAAGGTTATTTGAGTTATCAGTGAAGAAAGAAGGAAAGGTTTCTGAAATGGGATTTTGGGAAGAGGGTGAATGGGTTTGGCGGATTGAGTGGAGGAGGGGAACAATAGGGCGTGAGAAAAATGAGGAGGAGTTGCTGGAGAAGATGCTGGAGGGTGTTCATCTAAAGGAGGGGGTGAGGGATGTATGGAAGTGGGTTCATGAGATGGAAGGCAAATATGTGGTAAAAATAGCCTATGATTTTCTAGCATCTACGGAGTGTGTTTTAGAGGACCGAATGTGCAAATTAATATGGTGCAGTTGGGTGCCATCAAAAGTGGCTTTTTTTGGGTGGCGTTTATGTTTAGATAGGCTCCCAACAAAGGTAAACCTTAAAAAACGTGGGATTCAGTTACAAGAAGGGGTTTTTTGTGAATGTTGCGATGGGACAGTGGAGGAAGTTAATCATTTATTTTGTGTATGCTATAAGGCATGGGTTGTTTGGGCACAAGTGTTGAGATGGTGGGGGGTGGAGAGTGTCTTGCCTAATACAGTGGTGGGAATGACAGATTTTTTCTTATGTGGTTTAGGAAGTATAGTTGGTAAAGAGATGGGAGCCTGTATTTTTCTAGTGGTCTCCTGGTATTTATGGTATAGGCGCAATGCTCAAGTATTTCGAAAAGATGAAGGAATAGAAAACTTGCTGGAAAGGGTGCAAGTTAAAACCTTTTTATGGATTAAATCTAAAGTGAATGGCTGTGTTTTCTCCTTTCATGAATGGCAATCTTGTCCGAAGGAGTGTGCTATGTCTGTCAAAAATCATAAAAGGATGAGGAAGCAATTCTATAAGGCATTCGGGCCCCCTGGCTGATGTTTTGGAAATGCAGATGGTTCTGCTTTTGATCAGGTTTCCAAGTTGTGTCAAATTCTGGTTGTAAGGAGCTTGGCTCCCATCAGATGCGGGTACCATCAAGATGTGGGTGCCATATGTTTGTAGATGGGTTGAAGCACCCCTTGTGCTTCATTAAATAAAAATTTTTATTTGGCCGATCAAAAAAAAATATCCCTTGCATCCTTCTCCTGCAATACAGGCCAATAGGAATTTAAAGATGCATATTATTGTACATTAATCCATTCTTCCTTGCCCTAAGTTTAAGAATGGCAGATTTATAGCTAAACAAATGATAATACTCCATTGCATAAAGTCTGAGTTCACAAGGGTAAATGGAGTTGGAGATTAAACTCCAGAATCTTGATAAACAAAGGAGTAAAGGAATATATGTCATATCAATTGCAGCTCTCTGCCTTTGTCATTGCTATCAGAATAACACTTGAATAAAAATCCACAAAACCAGAGTTAGCAGTGAAGGATAAGACCCACAGGTCTCCTTAAGAAGAGGGAAGGAAGCAAACTCACCCGATAGCCACCATCAAACATTGCACGAAATGCATCTGAAGAAGCAAGAAGGCAAATTCTATGAGCATAGAACCGTCTACCTGCACATAAAACACAATTTACATTTAGAGAGGTATTTCATGGAAACAAAATATATCAGGTCCACCACAATATCTTTCTATAACAAGAATCACAGATTTAAATAAGCATATCCAGTAACAACCTTCAACAAGAAAGGTAACATCCGACAAAGTAGCATTATTTACATATTGCTCCCCCAAATAAACCTGCAATAAGATTAGTCTGTTAGCACGGGCACATTATGAAAGTATAAACTGTTTCATCTTCCAACCACATACAGAAACATCTATATGCAGCCATAATTGAAATTACAAGCACATCACCACCACCACCACCACCATGCTGACGATGATGATGATAATAAATAATAAACTAATAGCAACTAAAATCCTTCAATGTTATCCTTTCCATCATTTTCTTTTTGGTAATAAAAACCTCACTTTTGTTTAGAAAGACCATCTTCGTTTCATTTATTTTCCTTTTAAGGCTTCTGAATTCCAAATATGCTTTAATTACATCAAATGCAAATTTGGCAATAGCTTTCATGTCCAGCATCCAAATGGTTGGAATATAATTTAGATATCCTTATCAATATATACATATTCTTCAATTCTCAAAAACTAGAAAATATCATTTCCAATCACAAGAGTATGACATGATAATATATTTCAAACACAATACCAATTTTGCCATAACAGGTGATCAGGATATGATCATAAATTCATACAAATCAAAAAATTATCTGTCTCTGTTCAGATCTATTAACGAAAAGGAAAGGCAGAGAACAGGACTAATCAGCTTTTGGAACAACTCACCTGTGGTGTTGGAGAAGGGGGAGCTGCATCAATAGGAGAAAGAGTCATAGCTTTGTTGGCCAACTTGTATAAAGCCACAGCACCATCAAATTGCTGCTTTGGGCTCGCAGAACCAAGAAGCCCAAGAAGCAACTCCAAACCTGCCTGAAAACTCGACATGGTTAGAATGTATGGCGCCATAACCATCTCAGCTGCATGTGCACTTGTGGTATCCTCATCCAACCACTTAAGAGTTGGAATACAATATGAGTTTGAAATTATTTAAGAAGAGACAAGAAATACCATTATTTTCAATAAATATGGTTCTCTGGTCCTCTGGGGAACAAAGATGGGCAAGAGCTAAAGCAACTCGTCTCTGGACTGGCTTCTCTGATAGGTAGAGTTATGTGTGTGTTATCCTTTTTTTTTCTTTATTGACAAGATAGAAATCTGATACTTCAAGTTAATTCAACTCTACTTGTTATTTACTTAAACATGTGACTTAATTTTGTTAGTTAGATATTCTTATTCTTTATTCAACACATGGGAAAAAGCATGCAATTTGGGATCTTTCTTTTCATCCAAGCTCCTAAATTTATTTGCCATGATGTATAACTTTTATTCTATCGTGTAACATTTACATGGTATAATTGACAATTAACTTTAACCTTAATTCTGCTTTGTTTGTGGATGCATGAGTCATTTTGAAAACGATTGTGATGTTGCACACCATATAAAAGAAGCAGGTGCAAAATTAGTGAGACGATCTGGATCCTAGTTGAAAACTGAACTGGAGAATTCTTGGCTTCCGGATAATCTGGACAAAATGAATGAATATTTTTCAGCAAATATTTGTCTTTTTGTGGATGATGAAGACAATGAAGAAGTAGTGGATTCGGGTTATGTGAATGCTTAACAAAACAAATCCTTAGACAAGAATATTAATGGCCGGAGTTCTGTAGAGGAAAGGAGGCAAGCTGCTGGCTCAAACCACATCTTGTGCGGAAAGGAAAATAGCCTTACCCCTACTGGAGATCTAGATCCTTTACCAAATGAACAAAACTTATAGAGATCCCATTATCACAAGAGTTTGGCAGCATTAGGAATCCAAAGAAAGGTACGGGTGTGGGTGTAAGCAAAGAAGGCACATGGCGACACATTAAACGAGATTTAGAAAGCTCATCAACTAGAAAGACAGCTTCCCATGGTAAGAGAAAAGTTAATTCTGATTTGTTAGAGGAACAAAGAGCCTCAAAGGTGCTTGTTAACAATGCAGGTGTGGCTTATGCTCGCATGATGGCAGGTCATGATCTACCTGCAGGGCAATATTTTTACGCGTGGTAACTTACAAGTTAAGGATTATTGTTGTTGTACTCTGTGGCTCTCCCCATGAAGTTAGTTAAATAGGTGAAAACGTTCAATAGTTTTGAACGCTCAAAGTAACATTTTTCTCTACATTGATAACCCTATTTATATTTATACAACAAACAATCTCTAGCTGCAAATAGTCATCTTTATTTAATTGTCCTTATTCAGCATGAGCATAATTTAAATTTATCATTAATGATGTAGGTTATGCTTCAGTTCTTAAACTAAATTGCCATTATATGAAGATATGCATATAATCTATTTATTTATTAATAGAATCTCTATATTCTATCAAAAAAAATTATTTAGTACTGTATGCTATTTAATTTGAGTTGTAATTAATTAATCAAGAAAAAAATAAAATCTGCACATTTCAATTCAATAACTTTGATTCTAAATTAGTGTGATCACCCCCCTAGGTTGCGTGTTCATACTCTATATATTCCATCTCCGATTCCCTAATTATATTATATGTAACTAATTTCAGTGCCTTCAAAAAATTAAAACCAATCTTTTCATCAAAAATCTTGGAATTCTCTGACTCTGGATTGAGTTTATGAAAAAGATGAAGTTCTCCCTCGGCTTCAAACAGTCCCATCTCCCCTCCCCACCCACTTTCCTTCACCTCATTACCGTACAAAATCTCTCTGTCTCTCAGTGGTTCCTTCTCTGCAACATAAACCAGCATCTTAGAGCAGCCGCCAGGCCCGGCTTTCCGACTCCAAACGGATTAATCATCGGATTGTCGATTCCTCCCGGCGCCGTCGGATAAACCAAGTCCCAAACCGGGGCTGCGCAGTACTTCCCCCGATCAGCGGTGGGTTCAGACCCAATTGGTTTTGATCCCCAAAAGAAAGGGTAGCCTACAAGAGCTCCAAAGATCTTAACCCCACCTTTCAAATCTTCAACACCTGCCCGCATTGCTACATTGTGTGCAATGTTGCCCCCGGAGCTGTCACCGCCGATTAATATTTTGCCGAAGTCACCGTAATTCAAGAGCCAAGGGTCTGACTCTTTATCGGGTTTATTTCCAATTGTCTGAGATGCCACCCATTGAAGAGCAGTCCAGCAATCTTCATATGCTGCGGGGAGTGGGTTCTCCGGAGCTAGTCTATACTCCACGGAAACGGCAACAACCCGGGCTTGAGAGACCAAGATGTTAAGGTACCGGTGATACAGAGATGAGAAGGCGGATCCGGCAATAAATCCACCTCCATGGAAGTAAACAAAGATGGGAAGCTTTGGATTAGGGTAGTGCAGGTGGGTGAGATTGGGTAGGTAGAGGCGAGCAGAAACGGGAGGGTTCTGAGATATTGTTATGTCTTTTGGTGAGACGCCGGTTTCTGGGTCTGGGTTGGGAGACGGTATGCGTTCCACTGACCCATCTTTGTAGACTCTGATGGAAGAAGGCATCTCGAACTCATAAGCCAGTTCTTTGGTTATGATCATATCCATGGAGAAAGAGAGAAAGAGAAATCAATGGAGGTTGAAGGAAGCAAATATGGAGCAGAAAATGGAAATTATGTTTGTGTTGAGATTATTAGCAGTAGACTCTAATCTCTTGATTTTTATTGGGGTAGCATTTCTCCGTGACACTCAAACCCCACGTGACTTCAATACACCAAGCTAGCCATTAACTGGTTGGATTGTTTCTGGCTGTTCTGATAACATTAAAAAAGTCTTTTTAATACTACACTGCTAGTATTTGAAAATGAGTTTTTCTAATAGGTCTTTTAAGGGTAAAATTAAGAATATTTTTTTA